AGAGAGTAGACAAGCAAAGATTGACGGTGAGAGTAATTACCATTAAGATCCATCCTGGTAGGGAATAAATTAATGAAAATGACAACAATTAGTAATATTCTTTTTATGTACTCTAATATTCTCCATTCACCCTGTCTTATTTTCTTTCATATAAATTACTCACCTTAATTAAAAATAGGAAATATTCACAGTGAGTGGATGCATAGAAAAAGCTAAAAGAGTATTGATTGAATAATATATGAGTTGATTTTGTCAATATAATTTTTTAGCTCGAGATTTGTGGATAATTAGACTATGAATAAAAATAAATAATTTATTATATATCATAGTGCTGTAAAAATGTATTTCCAATTTTAATTATTATTTTTTCATTTAAAACGCTTAACTATTTCTACCGGAACATCATAGATCAAAAGAGTGAACGACGTTATTTATAATTCGACTTGTGAACATTGTTAATTTTAAGATATTCCTTGGAACGAAAAAATAGAAATTTTATCTAAGTTATGTGCAACCGCATTATACCTATGCATTTTTATTACATGACTTTCAAGTTAGATACTAGTATTTTGATTTTTTGTATGGATAATTTTGAATCGTTTTTTTTAATATTTTACTATTACACACATTTCAACGATCATTAACTTTTCCAATGAATTTTTTTTAATGGAAGAGTCATGAGTATGTAGCACAACACTGTTATTAGTTATTACTATATATCTCCAAAGTCTTTAGGGTTTGTTTAATATGAGGATAAAAAGATAATAATTTCGATAAAAAAATTATTTAGCTTGTATTGAAGTAAAAACACTAATTAATTTTAAAATTATTTATGTCATTATTTAAACAATAATGATAAAAATAAGTTATTTATCCCATTTTATAATGAAACAACCCCTTAATCCGCTAGCCAAATGCTAAAAAATTGTACATTGGGAGGTGAGCACTTGAATAAATTATCAATCTCGAAGGAGATATATATTTCATTGAAATAGTGTTACTGCCACATCGTATGTGTAAATAATTTTTCAATAAAAAAATAAATATCAGCCTTGCTTTCAGAACTCATAAAACGTGTTCGTTACGTTGTCGTATTATAAGTAACTACTCCTTCATTCACTTTTGTTGCGGTTTGACTTGACATATCTATTATAAGTAATTACTCCTTCATTTACTTTTGTCACGGTTTGACTTGATATATATATTTTATCAAATTATCTCTTATTATAAATAATGTTTTAGAAAATAATTTGAAAAATAAGTATTTAATATTGAGGATAAAATATGGAAAAAAAAATTATTATCTCTCTTGATATGTCAAAAATGACAAAGTAAAAATAAAAACTTATTTAAAGAATAAGTGAATAGAAGGAGTAGTTAATGTGTTATTTGAATCTTCTAAGTAATATAATACACGTTTACACGCTTAAGTCAAGCAGTCAACAATCAATTTCAATCTTATTTTAATCGGAAATCGATCGATAGTTCACAGAGCATTCACATACTTCTTTGAGAAAAAAAAATCGCATAAAATGTTTCTATTAAATTAAGTATAACTTACATAAATCTAATAGCGTAAAATCTAAATTATCTTTTATTTCTATTTTTTTTTTCCAAATTATACAAATCTCATATTTTTTAGGCAATTCGGATACATAATTAAGGATTCAGATACATTATTGTTGATACATACTTTTTTGAAAAATATTTATAATTTTTTTTTTTATGTTTTGTTAGTTTAAACTTTTTGAAAATCAAATTTGAATATATATTTTGTAACTGCTAAGAATATGGAGTAAATTTAGGGAGAGAAAATAGGAATGAAAAAGGAAGTGGTGAACGTGGGTTTGACTGATGACTTTTATGTATCCGATAGTTTTTAAAATTAGGAGAAAGAAGGAATTTAAGTAATATTTTAAAATGGTAGAAAAAAATGGAGAATAAAAAAAATTAAACTTGTGTACTTATCCTTAAATGAATCTATGTATGCCATATGTTGAAAAATAAACCATCAGAGTTAGTTGGTGTATATTTTTTTTTTACTAAATCACTTATTCATAGTGAGTGTTGGTGTATATATACCATATAAACTATACTAAATTATTATTGTAAAAAAAAATGAAAAATAAATACATATTCAGAAACATGAATATTTCACTCTTTTTCAGAAAATTTAAATTAAGTATAATATAATCTACCTCAATTTAACAATACTGACTATTATATTAACAAGCATAGCAAGTCAATAGGTCAATTTTATGGAGACAAAATAGTGAAAGAATTATTTTTGTACATGAAAAGATTGAGAAAAGCTGTGAAATTATTTTGGATAGTTGATCCTCTTGGGTTATTAATTATTTCCTCCATCTTAATTTTTTTAAACTTCATTATTGTTTTGAAAGTCTTCCATTCAATTTCATAGTATATATCGATATCTGAGGTAATATCTCATATGATTTCTTAATTTAGGATGATTTATTTAGAAAATTATTAAACTTTATTTTATAATTTTTTTTCAATTAAACTCATAGGCTCAAACTTTACTGTTATAATATTGTCAGAATCATCAACTCCTCTATAGAAGGCGTTGTGCGAGCAGATGTCACAGCAATGACAACTAACTCGTGAGTCGAAATCACCTTTTCCAGATTCACTATTTTTTTTCTTAGTTAGGACACGACCTTTCCCGGCCACCGTAACAACTACGGAAGGAAACGAAGAGATCGCGATAACAATCTCACTGGAATTTTGAGATCCATCAACGTTTTTAATTTGGTCAAGAAGATCGAAATAGGTAGAGAATAATTCTCGATCCATTTGTGAGTGTATTTCTTAGATTTTTCTTTTTCAGAGTAGTTTTATGTTATAATTTAAAAATCAGTTAATTTAAATAATCGAGATGGTCATAAAATACTTAAAATAAGTATCTTGTTATTTCTAATTAAACATATAGCTTAAAATAAAAATTTAATGAAAATTGATTGGATGACTTTCAAGATAAAATATCAATAATTGATCAACTTTAATTCTTAAGTAAACTATCCCGCCTTGTGTGGTTTTTTGAATTATAGATAAAATAGAGTGAATTTTTCTAGTGAACTGTCGTAAGTTGAGTAATCATTCAAATACTATCTCATCCACAGTCATCATTGATAATATTAGTCAAATATATATATTTAAAGAATTACCCTTCGGGGTGGCCCAGTGGTTTGAGCTTGGGACTTCCATGTTGGAGGTCTCAAGTTCGAAACCCCTTGCCAGCGAAAGCAAGGGATTTGCCTTCTAGGTCGAGCTCGTCGCACCAGGCTTGCCTAGTGCAGGTTACCTCTCCTATGTGGTTTGCGAGCTATTGCATAGGAGCGGGGGTTTTACTCTGTGCGCACCAAAGGGTAGCGGCTGCGGGTTTCCCTTGTCATCAAAAATAAATAAATATATATTTAAAAAATTATAAAGAATATATTGGAGGATTAAAACTCAAAAGTTAACCTTTCATTTATTATTTTAACCAATAAATTATGGTTCTTTCGTCTCTTAAAATGTGAATGTAGTAATTTTCCAAACTATTAGGATCGTCAAATAAATGGGCGAAAAATAATTTGATCAGGACTCACTAAATTTGACTCAATTTCCTTTTTAAACAATTCACTTTCCCTCTACCCTCCCCTTTTACCGAAATCCAGGATTTGAAGACTTCGGATGCAGTATGTATGATCTCTAAGCTAAATTTAAAATAAAAATAATGAAATTTAGCATTCTAACTAGATTCAAACCCTGATTTCGTGGGTAATTCCTATGTCTTGTACCAATAACACAAGAACACTTTTATGCTTCTTAGGTGCATTGTTAATTATATCCTAATTTCTATCAGTTTTATATAGACTCTCAGCCCTCAATCTCCACTTTAGCAAACATAGATGCATGTTATAAAAAAAGTCATTTATAAAAGTGGATCTTGATCATAGTGTGTCATTTATAAGTCAGAAAAAGTAGGAAATTAGGAATAATCCAATAGGCTCTAGGATATACCCTGGGTGAATGATATCTAGGAAGTTCGAACTATTGCAATGATAACTATTAATCGATAAAATTGTGATTAAAAATGACCAATTTCTTTTTTTCGCAATATTTTAATTTCATCTTTTCATGTGACATATTTAAAATGCATTTTGATATAATTTTAATTTAGGACAAGAAAATTGCAAAGTTTTCTTTATTTTTTAAAATTTTGTATCAAATCAAACTAGATCATTTTTTTTAAACGAAAGTATGTGTTATAGACGTTTATAATATCAACAAGCGTTAAGCAGACTATTGAAACTTATCGCGGAAGCTACATATGGTAAAAAATAAATCTCCACTAACAGTGAAACTAATTATAAGTTGACCAAACTATTCTAAACAACTGAAAAATTCAAAAATCAGCCAAAAAAAAGAAGATAAAAAGATGCCGATGATAATTGGTGATTATTAATAATGAGAAACGTACTGATTAACTAGGGAAAAAATTGAATATTGGGCAGTTAGAACACAATGTCAATTCATTAGTTCCTCTGAATTAAACTCTTTTGGATGGAAATATTCAACAAAAATAATACTATAAAAGATTAAAGAGATTTTGGAATATCCAATTTTGCTTTAATTATGAAGGCTACTATCTGACCTTTAGGCATAAAATAGTGGTCCAACTTGCACTCCTTATCTTCTCTCAGTTGATGAATTTCGAAAACCAAAAATTCATCTGCCACTCAATCATTCAGTGGATTCAGAATTTTAAAATAATAAGAGCACTATTAATAATTTGTATTTGATCGATTTAATTTTTAGGTTTTAACTATTAACTTATTACATAATTGAAAATATAGGTTCAAAATTATTATTTTATTTATTTAGTATTTCACAAAGCAATAGAAGATAGGAGTACTTATTTAACTCTCAGTAAGTTCCCTCCATTTCAGTGATTCAAATAAAGCTGAAAACTCATATTTCAGGGCAGTGATAACTCATAAGCGTTAACTGATACTGAGTTGTATATAAATGGCTCTTACCACTTTGGAAATGTTTATTCAAAGACGATGATCGTATAGATGGTAGCATTTTACAATGTTAGAGCAGTAATGAAATTATATTTTTTTTCTAGATTTTGTCATGCATGTTTCAACATGCGTTTTGTTGTGACAGTTAAAAAATGCATGGTTAAACCAACTGATTGTCTCATCTCTCATGCTGCTGCAATGTATTAGAAGCTCGACTCTTCTGTTGTTGGTCTCCTCAAGTAATAGCGCAAGCTGTTTGCAAGAACCTGAAAGGTTACAGATTGAAATCTGTCAATGATTTTCATCAAGCTAGATGTAACTAAGACAAATAGGTAAATATGACAATGACAATAATTGAAATTGCTTTCACACAACAACATTGCGAACCTGTTGAAGGGGCTTGATGAGAGCTTTGTTCTTGTAGCTTACATGAAATTTTGCCTTGGCTAGCAGTCCCTGTAATAGAATCGATGTATTAATCTACACTGCCACTAATTCATAATCATCAGAAGGAGTATAGCTAGCTTCGTCCTTCAAGCATGAATTGATTAAACAACCCTGTAAAAGTCTGACCTCGGTGTCAAATTCTCCTGATATAACATCAATGTTTATTTCAGTAATGATCTTGACGAGATCAACTATTAATCCAGGTCGATCTGCTGCCTCTACACACAGTAAGCTGCAAAACAGCAATGTTTTACTATCTGTCTTTCAAGAGAGGCACGTAATGGCATCTTATGGCCAAGCTACTTGTTTTATCAACATTGTCTGAGAGTAACAAATATGACGGTATTATTAAAACGGACCTTCGTTCAGGACCATCATCATAGACATGGATATGAGTTGCTATGTCCACATCAAGCTGAAAGTTGGCACAATAAACAACAAAACATAAATGGTTAACATTAGACTAAAAATATTTAACTACTGATGTTTCTGCATCAATCATGTGCATTAGGTAGAGGTAGTATTCTCAATTATTGAGCAAGCACTATGCAAGACTAAGTAGAATCTGCTCAAGATGCATCACTAGTTTTATGAGGTAATTCTTGAAGGGATCAAAGGATTATGAGACGTAAACGCAAGCAGTTCCAAATAAAATACAAAAAGAACAGGCAGATTGTTTAGCATGGCCGCACATGGAAAATTATGGAAAAGAAGAACAAAGGATTTACAACCTTTTGAGTTGGTTGAAAAGCACCAAAGGCTTCACCCATAGCTAACTGAGAGCTAGATTCCTGCACCAGAAATTATGCAGTAAGAAGAAGCAGCCATAAAAGACACCACAGAGGTACTCTTAACAAGTATCCAGTGTGTGATGGCTGAAATTGCAGTGCTACCGGATGAAACTCCATCAAATTGTTGATAATTGTCAATCGAATTGCTTCTAGCAGCTCTGGATCCTCGACCTTTCTACCTGTAGAACTGAAAAAATCCCCGATAACAGAACAATCAGAATTTCCAGATATAATTAGATCAAGAAATGACATAAGAGCATAAAGGAATCCGACATGACTTACGCATGTGTGATGCATAATTTATTGTGCTTCCCTGATGAATCTAGATAGACATTAGCCTTGACAACATTCAGTCCAAGATTTTTTAGTGCACTCATCTGTAAACACATTCAGTAAAAGTTAGGCAGTACTAGAGAAAGATGTTCTGCCTAATCGACTCTAGAATTTCCAGCAATAGCGTTGACTTGAATCAATAGGAGATGAATCCTACTGTGTCAAGAAGAGCCCCAAGGCGATCACCAAAGGTAACCTCCACTACAGTTGCTTCTGGATCCGAATCCAAATCTATTATGACTTTGGGCATCGGGACAGCAGTATCTTGGGAACTTCCATCCTGTTTCCCAGTCCCATGAATCAAAAACAAAATATTTAGTAAACAAAAACAAGGGGAAAAAGTTGTTTCAATGAATTAAGGTATGCATTAGATACCTCAACAGCTGCAGTTGAGGATGCTTTTGGAATAATTGTACTCTCAGAAAAAGCTAATCTGAAAGAGCACAACATGTAGATTATATTCCCGGGCGAAGCAACCAAAAGTACTTAAATTCCAGAATAAAGTAACTTTATGAACTTTAAGAAAGTGGGATGATGCTCCAGTCATTATCATTTTGCAAACCTTCCACTGCTAAAAAACTCAGCCAGTCCATGATTATTCCCCTTGCATGGCGATTTTAATCAACAGTTCTTTATTAGATTTGGAATTTTATTTCACTACCTGTTTTTAGAGATCAGCCACAAGAACCTAGATAAAAAATTTCAATGCTGCTAGAAAGAGAAAACAAGATTCTGAAATGAAGACTCATAACAGATAGCCTTCAAATTAACCCGATTAAATTTCTTAAGGATACACTATACAATCTGCGGGCTCGGAATTAATTTTTAATTTCTGTCTAACCATTACAGCATCTGCTTTTAATAATTCTGGCTATGGATACAGAGAATTAACATCAACCAGTATCAGGAATGCACCCAAAAAACTCAAAAAAAGAGAAAAAAAATCCGATTTTTCAGGTGGTCAACCAACTGAGCTACTAAAATTCCTGATTTTTTTTTTTCAATTAACTTGGGGAAGATGGATAATTTCTGTGTTGGGTCTGCAACTAATCAGCCAAATTCAAGATAGAAACAGATAAGAAGTAGAAGTTGCTGAGGCAGGAACTTACCTCTTGGGAACAAGGCATATTCTCTGTACAGGATCCAAACCAAAAGAACCCCTGAAGAGAACTGAACTTGAAATGGGTATTTTCTCAATTGCTTTTAAATTAGCATAAACCCCAGAAATGCTCCCACAAGAAGCCATAGCCACAGCCATATCAGTTCAAGAATATTGAAAAATTGAACAAAAGCTATATAAAAGGAAAAAAGTTGCGTCTTTTTCAGTCTGGGTTTCTTCGTGAAATAGTATACTACTAGAGGAAGTAACCAAAAAGAATCACGGAAATGGAAAGATAAGAAAAGAAGCAAATTTTAAGAGAAGAAGAAGAAGCAATAGTGTTGATTGTTCTTCTAGTAGTATCCGCCATTATAATGGAAGGTGTCCTCTTTATAATATACGAGAAAAGGTATAAAATTATGGGCCTTGTTTGTCTTTGTTGATGAAAGCTGAGCCTTAGAAATTTACTTCAATTTTATCTGATCCTTTCTCACTTTTTTTGCAGTGTTGTGAAGCTGTGATTGTATTGAGAGAGACAAGCCAAAGAACCAATGGGCAAGATATGAATGATCCTCAAAGCTACCTCCTCATCTTTTTACTTATTCTTTTTTATTAAAAATAAAATAAAAAATTACCTCCTCACATTTTATTTTATTTGAAAAATCTCTTAAGTTACATATTTGACTGCTCATAAATTATAATGGCTAGTTTTAATATCTCAAATGGTCACTCAACTTTGAGTAGTTTACTTAGAAAGTTATTCAACTTTGAGTATACTTAAAAAGTCACTCAACTTTGTTTTATCATTCAAAAGTCATTCAACTATTGATAATATCACTTAGAAAATCACTCAACTAATGATATTTTCCTTAAAAAGTCATCCAACTAATTTAAATATTTTCTTCATTAAATTTTGTTGAAATACAATTTCATTTTAAACTAATTTAAAAAAATAAAAAGATCCTCATTTGAATTATTTTTTTGAATTTGTTGAAATATAATTTTTTTTTAAATAATAAAAGATCGCTGAGCATCTTTTTTATTACTCCTTTTAATTTAGTAAAAGATATATATTTTAAACGTACAGTTGCAATTGACAAATTAAAATTAAAACCTACAGTAGCATTGCTATTAATTTATTAAGAAATAATAGAGATTGCTATTTTAAACGTACAGTAGCAATTGAGAGAAAAACATATTTTTCTGTTTTATTAATTGTTTTACTGGAATTAATTATGCTAAAAAATGCTACTGTTTGTTTTTCAAAAAAATTCTAATTAAATAACCGAAGAAGGTCAATAAGATAATTAAAATAAATGTCTCATAGTTGAGTGACTTTTGAGTTATAAATAAAGTTGAGTGACTTTCTAAGTGAACAACTCAAAGTTGTGTGACTTTCTAAGTGAAATATGCAAAATTGAGTGACCAACTGAGATATTATCTCGGTAAAAATATAATAACATGTCTAATGTGATTTTACAAGCGAGGCTTGAACCGCATGGGAGTTTTAGCACATAGCCACGTACATTAATCATGTTTGAGATGAGATAAAATATATTTTCAATAGATTTTAAAGAGAAAATCTAATGTACTAAATTTTTTGCTATACATAGAATCCGGATAAGGGACCAATCACAAAAAATTATTATACACAATTTTATCTTACATTTTCAGTAGACTCTCAACTTAAAATAAAAGTTTTTACGACTACAAAAGTAAAACATATTGATAAGGAAAATAGTAAAAATAATACAGATAGTAATATAATATTAATTTTAGTTATGTAATAAAATAATTTCCAAAATATACATTTATGAGCTAGTGTTAAATTACCTCCTCAACTAATGATAGTGACACTATTGGCTGGCATACATGGGGCCTTCATTATCTTCTCCTATGACGTGTCGCATTTTCAATTATATTCTCTCTTTTCTTTTTCTTGGTGCTTCCTATCTCGCATGTGATTGAATGTTGAAAGAGCGCGTGGTAAAATATCCTAGAAACATATGCTCTTCCGTCTTATTTTACGTAAAGATATTTAAATTATTGATAAAAATATCATAAATTATAACTAAAAAGAAAATATCTTTAAAATGAATCATGAATATCTTACTTTCAAAAAATAAATAAAAAAGAGACATGGTATATATTTTTATCAATTTAATAGAATAATTCTTGATTTATTCACTCAAAAATACGATAATCAATAAGCGGTTGTGAAGGCTATCGAAACATCACTAGTGTTTGGATCAAACAGTTGATAATTAATTGGTTGAGAATACAACTTTAAACTAGTGAGTGATAGTTGTTCTGAAGCAAACTAGAAGGACATGACATTAAAAAAAGAGAGGAGATTATAGCAGTCACCAGTGGAATAATTGTTTATTACACTTGGAAGGCTATGAATTAGAATACTTTCAAGCACATGAGTGTACAAATTAAAACAGATGCATTACAAATTAAGACGAGATCTTTTAAAGACTCTCGTAGTTATAACAGTTTGGTTCATAGGCTTATATATAACTAGTTTTATTTTTTAGGCATATTTTTTCTCATAGCACTTTTCCTAGAAGGTGGTTATGAGATTATGTGCTCTTTTTAGGTGTATTTGTTATTTGTGCTTGTTGGTTATGGCGATATTCACATTTGTTATAAAAAAAAATACGTTGAATAATTAAAAAAATAAAATACCTAAGTTTAAATGTGTAATTCAAATTACAGAAACAATTCATGAATTCATGAAGTTTAAACAATCTCCTCAAATCAGGAAGTTTTCTTGGAGTTTCATTTCCATCATTTCAAACTCGATTTCTTTTTCTACCGTTAGTTTCTTAAAATTTAGATGTTATTATAGTTTTTTTTTTAGGAACACATCTTATTTTACCATAATTTTTAAAATTTACTATCATTTAAAAAAATTACAAAAATTCTCTCTCGAATACATCACTACTCTCTCTTGAATACATTCCTCCCATTAAATAATGTATCATTCGTATTCCATGAGTATGTATCCGCCGATTTCCTATTTGTAATTTTACTTGTGTGAATTTACTTTAGATTTTTTTTTCTTCAACTTTGTAAATACTTGTCAATATATAAGGTCTCTTCCGTCCTACATTGAATAATATTTATTTGTATTTTTTTTTAATCTAGATTTGTAAATATTTGCTAATATATGACGCAATGTTTTCAAAAACGTTTTTTGGATGATTCTTCGGGCGGGGCGTATCAAAAACACTCCGGGAGTAAATTAAGACGTAGATCCATAAGGCGTAAGTCTCGAGCATAAAAACGTAAGTCCTGGGAGTAAAAACATACACCCGGGCATTTTTAATTTAAATTTTTGAACTTTTTTTTTGCTTTAAACCATATTTTTATTATTGGTGTAATGATATTTCCTCAAATAGTAATTATAATACTTTTTTCTTCATTATTGATTAGTAGTACTTATCTCAAATAAAATCATAATATAAATTCCACATTTTATAGGTTATTTAAAAAAAAATTATTTGTAAAATAATTGAAAGGTTTACTTTGCTTATTTTACTAGTAATAAAACTATAAAATTGAAAATACATGAGATTACACCCCGTAGATCTATGGGACTTACCCCTCATGTCTCGGGGCTTACGTCCCACCCCGTAATGTATAAAACGTCTCACCTCACGCCCCCACTTTTTAAAACCCTGAATTATGACGTTTCTACTCTTTTACCATTGTTATTATTTATTTATTTTTTGCACTGGCGATTTTTTATAATTAATTATAATTTAACGAATTATAATAGCTAATATTTGTGTTATTAGCGTTTTTCTTATTAAAAGCTTGTGTTATAATTTTAAGATAATACATTATTTAAATTATTATAAAATAATAATTTTACATCAAAATTATCTGTTTACAAGATTATGATTTGTGATAATGATAAAAACATAATTTGTCATTAACAAGTATGTTTGTTTGATATAATTGAATACTTTTTATAGTTTTTAGAATTTATAAGTATAATTTATATTTTATATTTTTCTTAGAAAAGGAATTAATTTTGAAAATTTCAGATCAATTCTTTATTCAAATTCACATTTTATTTTTTAAAAAAAATTTATAACGAGACGTTAGCTCATCTTACATGCATCTCAAATGAACGCTAAATATTAAAAAGGGGACCAAAAAAAGTGGCCAAACTGCCGAATAATCTCCTCGTTTACCTACTAAAGCCCAGGTACACTATATACGGCCCAATTAGAAAATTTCACAGTCTGGCGGCCCGGCCCTTTGTTGACTGGAAACATCCAAAAGAGCGGAGGAGAAGGGGTTTTTGAAGAAGAAGAGAGAGTAGTAGAAAATGGCGAAGTCCTGTAAGGGCCTTGCTGTGGAGTTGGTCAAGTGTCTTAGCGAATCCGATTGCGTTAAGGTATCCATTTTTTAATACTTTTCTCGTTGATTATTTACTTAATTTGTGTAGTTGCTGAAATCGAAAGAGCCATGTGGTTTGATTTTCTAGGTTGAGAAGAAGAGTTTCAGGGAATGTGCGAAAGAAAAGAGTCCATGTATTCCTAGTGAATGTGTAGGACTAAGGGAAACCTACTTCAATTGCAAGAGGGGACAGGTATACTTTATCAAAATTTGCAATATGTTTTACATCTTTACCTGCTCTTCATGTATTCGAGTGGTCCGATGAACTAGTCTTGTATAGCTTTCTTGCTTCTGCACTATTAAATTTGTGGAGAGTTAGTCATCTGCTCATTGCTTAATGTAATTACTTTCTCTAGTTTGATATTTGGAAATGGTTATTCTTGTGCAAAGTTACGAGGCGCGGCTGGAAATATCGTGTATTATTGGGGGGAGAATATAAAGAAGTGTCTAGAGAGGATTCATATAGCCAACTAAAATTAGTATGGGATTGAAGCATGATTGATTATGATCAATTGATGATTATTGGAAGTATTTTAACAAATAGATCCCTGCCATCAATTACTCCACCCCTCCTGCTAGGTCTTTTGAAAAATTTAACCCTACTGGTCAGATTTCACCCGTTGCCTAGCTTTTCCGGTATATAAAACAACAGGATTTTTGCACATAATCATTGTATCATAACCTTGATCTTTGGTGGCGTGGCAGTAAGTGAAACACGTTTTTGCAAATAGTAAATAGAGAAATATTGAGAAGTGTATGGAGAACCTTTTCCTTTGGCACAAATTAGGCATCATTTTGGGATGAGCCAAGATGGGAAGTAGGACACATAAATAGGAACACCAAGTGAGGAGAAACATTCCGTTTCAAGAGAGTGGACGTCATTGTTGTGTAGCTCAAAGTGAAAATCATGAGGTTCAATTTGAAATGGAAGGAATATTTGTGATGTTTGACTTGGATATGGATAGTGCATCCTTTGAGGTAGACAGGAGTGTCCCACTTTGTTATGATTGATAGGAATAGCTAGTTAGTTTGTTGATTTTCCCTCAAAAGATTTTGCTTCTGAAAGTTCCATGCTTGGAGAGATCCAAGAATTTATCTGAGCACACCTTCTGGGGGTACTCTCATGGGAAGTGCTTCCAAGTGGCACCCTGATGGTATTCCTATGTTCCTGTAAGTTGGTCGAAACCACTTTGACATTGTCTTCCTGGGTGATCATTTTTTAAAATATCAAGTAACAAGATTTTATTGTTAAGTCTTTTCAATCACATGATAATTGTAAAACTGAATGCAGAATTTGTTCTCTAAATATAATTTTGTGTGGAAGATGATAATAGCTATACTGATAGGTTTGTAAGACAATCCTTTGTCCCATATTTTCCTTATTTGTGTGTTTGTGGGCGGTGGGTGGATTAGGCCAATTTAAACTACTTACTATCACTTAAAAAACGTTTGCTTGGAAAACCAAAGAGTTGGAGCTTGAATGTACTTGGATCTTTCAGGCTCAATGCTTTCAGCATATGCAAGTAGTGATTTGATAGGGGAAATTATTAACCAGATAAAATGTACAAATCACGGTCCCTGAACACATTGGTTTAAGAAGTAGGGAGCATGGCTAGTGAATAACAAATTAAAGGATTATCTCAGTAACCTATAGCCTTCTATAGATCCTTGATGTAAAAAATTTCAGACGGAAAGAATAGTAACTGGTAAATTTCAGCGTATGTGGCTTGATTTAGTCTGAACTTGAATTCTGGAAATGATTTCATGTTCCTCATTTCAGTTCATTCTTGAAACCTAATTCCATCAGATTCAGGATGTCAATGATGTTACATCAATCTCAACAGCTGTGTTGTTTGTGTCTTTAAGCTTTGAGCTGAATACAAGGTCTTCTGCTATCCTTGCCATTTTCTCGTGATCTTTTAGTGATAATCACTTTTAAAGTGGTGCCTATAACCATCCCTACACTTTTTTGCACAAACTGGTGATTAGGTATTGGACAACCAACATACCAGATGAGAATAAGTCATTATGTACGTATCAAATTAAATAGATCACTTGTGTGAAGTTTCAAATCTAACTGCAGATATGCTGATGTTTGTTCTGCTGGCAATTTTTACTTCATTTTTGCCGTTTGAAGTGTCCTCCGGAAACAACCTCTCTATCTCCATGAGGTAGGGGTAAGGTTTGCGTACACTCTACCCTCCCTAGACCCCACTTGTGGGATTTCACTGTTTATGTTGTTATTTACTGTTAGAATTGTACTGCTTTGCGCTGTTTGCAAGAGAGAGAGATCATTGTGGATTAATTTATGAATTCTGATTTTGGTGTTGTGGACGTGAATGCTATAATTGTTTTTCTTGGCCTTGGTGGTATCTCATGGATTTGTTTAGTTGTCTAAACTATAAGGCATTGTGTCGCTGTTGAGGAAGGGTGTCACATAGCGACGAATTCTAGATTCTTCTTGTTAGTTAATACTGGATTTTGTTGATATAACATTCTTGTATTGACTTATCAAAAGGAAAACTAAATAGAGCTTTATTATGATGGAGGATCTGATATGACACGTGATTGTTTAAGTTAATAATACATGTGAACCACAGTTACTTGTGCATGGTTGGATCCCATAAAAGCTTAAATAAGATTACATGCTTCTTGTCAGCCTGATCCAACATGCCCTTTTTGCACTGTGATATTGACATGCATCTTCATCCTATCAACACTCCCTCTGACCAACTGTTCTCTCTTTCAGCTGGACATGAGAGCTCGAATTCGTGGAAATAAAGGCTATTAATTGGTAGGACTGGCGCAAATTCCACAAATGGGAAGTACAATATTTTCCTGACTGGACTGCATGTGTTAACTTGCAGTGTTCTGTACAAATTGCAATCTACAATTTTCTCAGCGACAGTGTCGCACATATACAAGTTTCTTGGATACACATTTTACCTGACAAACTTTGTACCTGGTGCTTCGGCCCCTTCTTAATTTTGAATAGCGTTGATATTGGATGTGAAATTGTGGAGGAGGGTTTAGTTCTCACTTTTCATCATGAATGATTAATTTGTTTTTCTTTCACTGATGTGCCATGCTGGAGAGACAATTTGTTTATCTATTTTTAGCATAGTGGTGGGATTATTTGTCCTCAATTCAATAAAATGACCCTCATTGAATTTTGTTTTTTCCCTTTTCTTTTTCCAGTTTCCCCCCGCTTGTATGTGACTTGTGAGCAAGGTAGAACGAATTTGGTTTGTCCAGACAGGGACTTACATGATTTGTTTGAAAGCTTATCTTTAACCCATATATAAATTTAGAAGGGGCAAAAAAAGAAGACAAAGTAACTTCACTGGAAGAGCCATTTAATGGGTATATTTAAACCCAAATATGACCATTAAAATACACAAAAGTACCCAATGTCAAACAAATGTTTACCATATTTCTTACATGCTTATATACTTTCAGTTCTTAATTTATATCTTATAGTACTGTAGTATAATTTTAAATATATAATTATTTATTTTGCTAAAATGAAAGTTACTATTCCCTCTGTCAACTTTGTTTGTCATGTTGCGTTTTTAGAAAGTCAAATTGACTAATTTTCAAAGTTAAATTAGATTACATTAATTTGATATTTTAAATAAAAAAATTAAATAATTCAAAAACTATACGAAAAATACTATACATTGCAATTTTTTGCAATATCAATATGATAAAAAAAAATATAGGAAACCATGACAATTAAAAGTGGATGAAAGGAAGGAGTATCAAAATGAAAAATTTAACTCTCTTAGAAAGAAACCGAATGACACTGTAGTTTTGGGGTTCATTAGCAGTTTTCATTGCGCTCAGAAAGAACCATTCAACTTCCCATACAACACAAAAACAATGACGATGGAGGAGCCAGGATTGCCGGAAGAAGCGTCCGTGGATAAACAGTCCAGTACCGGAAAGTCCATTACGCCTTCGTCGATGATGGCAAATAATGCCGCAACTTCAATTGCCAATCTCCGCAAACTCTCCGACTCCCTCTTAGCCTTGCAATGCTGCTTCACTGAGTTAAACCAACATATCAATTCCATTCGGTCCATAATTCACTCTGTGATACCCGGACTTGCGACTAATATCAGTACTCTTTTACCGCCAGCCGCGGTGTCCCCCGCCCCAACCCCAGCCACAGAACCATTCCCAAAGCCAGACACTAACCCAGCCACAGAACCACTCTCAAAGCCAGAACCATCTTGGGAATTGTCTTTCGAAATTCAACTGTGCCTCATAAATTGTGAGGAGGGAGTACTTCATCATGCTTGGGACACACTAAGAGCTCCCACCCTTTTCATTTATCCAACCTGAAACGACAATTTTTATTTTATTTTATTTGGTAGCACCGAGTAACTGGCCTAATAACACCTCTTATATTTTCACAAATAGTTGTCTGAGCATCAGAATTCCCATCTGCTAGTACTTTTGGACCATACCTTAGGTCTTTGAGGACAACAGCTTCCCAGATATTCTATGGTCCTCCTACTGTTGTCCCACAATGAATCATGATTTTAAATTTTTGTATAAGAACATAGCTGTCACGCTTATAATCATATCTTTCCTGTCTAAGATCTCATGCATAGAACTTTTTACAAAGAAATTTTTTCTTGGTTGAGAAATGGTATAGTTGTAATGAAATTGCAGCATTAAGGAAGTGCTGAAATTATGAAATATGTACAAGCGAGCAGAAAAACAAAAGGGATGCCCCTTTCTAATCTTGCGGTGACTCGAATAGTAGTACTATATTGAACTATTGCTAGTTGACCAGATGGATCATGCTTATAAAGTTTGTGATCCTGGATGATCTAATGCTCATTTTTTTGGTGGTTCGGATGCATTCCTTGGCAAGTCTTAGAAGCTACTCAACCAATTGAGCTAATTTCAAAGTTTGTACACAGTTTCTTGTTGTTCCTTCATTCGCTTCATTTTTGTTTCTTGATATGTATTAGAAGCCACTCAACCAATTGAGCTAATTTCAATGAATTTAAAAGTATGGCCTCACTTTTTTCTGATATAAACAAGTAAAAGAAGTTTGTATACAGTTTGAATAACACTAGTAGTTGTTTATTAGTGTGAGTAAGTGCTTTTATGTGAACATGACTGGTTTATACGCCAAATCACAATCTGGTGGTGCTAAAAATTGTTAATCTAGCCATGGTGGAGGATCATGCTAATATTACTTGAGACTCGGTGGACAAATACAGAATGGAGGTATATTCAATGTCTGAATTTGAATGACGAAAAATTGAAGTATTTGGGGAACTCTCAGTATCGTTATTGGAGAGAAAAATGAACTAAGCTTTTTGAATGATTAAAATAGAAAATGATATGGACAGGAACAAGCAGTCAACATTGGGGTAACTTTTCAATTTAGGTAATCTTTAAGTTCAATTCAAGGACCCTTTTCAACCTTGTATCTGCTTGGAAGTTACAAACTTACAATCTGCCTTTCAATGTTTGTTTTCATTGTTCGTTGTTTCAGAGATGAAGCCTTATTATGTAATCTATCTCTTAATATGATCCATTTTGCATTTTTTCATACCTTTTCTTTATCCCAAGTATTGCATCTGACCTTGTCGCGTAGTTGCTGTAATTTATCTGCCTACTTAACACTGGTTTATGTAAATTTGTAACAGAAATAATTGAGGGGATGGTGAAGCAAAATTTGGAAGTTGATGCTGTTCATATTGCCTACACTTTTGGAATTGAGGACAGGTTTAATCCTCGGAGACTTTTGACATCATTTTTACTAGACTCCAGAGAGATTGAAGAAAAGGAACGAAAAATCACAAGGTTCACTTGCTGCTGTGGTAATTCTTCAATTTCATTCCAGCACTGATAGCCCCCCCTCTCTGATTTCTCTCCCGGTCTCCTCAAGTTAACCATGCATTTTGTTATGTTGTACAGAATGAAGCAAAAAGGAAACATTTGTTTGATCTGACATCTGTCATCAAATGTTTGAAATGCCACGATATTGATCCTTCAAAACTTCTTCCTGGGTGGAAAATCAATGAGAAGATAATGGCCCTGGAGAAAGAAATTGGTGGATTTGATAAGCAGATAGGTAAGAATATGGCACGAAAGAGAAAAAGTGATGAAACTGAGTCGTCAAGAAGGTTCAGAAATAGAGAAGCAAAACACTCATGTATTCTGCCATGGCTACGACAGCAAAGAGTTGATGCTCATGTCTATAACAATAACACCTTGCCAGAAGGTCGAACTACTGGCCACCTTCATGGTTATACTGTGTCCTCATCAGTATTGCGTGGGCCTTCTGCAGGATCAATACATGAAAATATTGCTGTCTCACTTGTAGGAACTGCGGGAGGTGTGGCCATGGGTGTAGCTGGAGCAGGTATATCAGCAAGTGCCGATGGTATTCATGCAGGTATATCAGCAGGCACAGATGTTGTTCAGCAAGAAGGTCCATATGCTGGAGGTCATGGAGGGACTCTAGTTGATAGTACGCCAGGACAAATAGGGAGTCATACTGTTCAGATGTATGGCCGGCGCGGGAATGCAGCCGTGTATGATAGTCCGGCTTCATGCAGCTATGCTTATAGGCCATCATCGTACTTGGATGGCTCTAAGGGGTTGCCAAACACCATGCATACTGATGCTTATAGGTCACCACCATACTTGGAAGGTTCTACAAGATTGCCAAACGCCATATCCGGTGATGCTGCTGGCCGGAGCTCTGCATCTGATATCTACCAGTTTGCTGATACTGTCACAGCAAGTGAATTACACATGAGCAGTGGCTTACGGGCAGTTGATACCATTTCATCTGCTGCGTCTGCTCATCCTTCACCCAACTTGTACCGGCCGAAATAGATTTACCTTGGGCAGTCACTTCTGTCTACCTTAGTTTCCCTTTTTTTTTTTCTGTAAACCCAACCTAGAAGTGACTTCTATATGGTCTGTTAAGGCAGTCTCAGAATTGTGTTTATTAGTTACTAAAAACTCTGGACAGAATTGTGTCTCAGGCTTAGCATATTAATGTCTATAATCTACTAGGAAAAATTTAATTTCTCTGGTATATAAAACCTTCCTTTTGTACTCCATTCCGTTGAAACTTGTATTGTATTTTCTTTTATGATTTACCACTCAAAATGCTATATTTTCTCATTTGGAGTTGAAGGTGGGAAGGGAAGCACCCAAAAATTACTTACTAACTGCATATTGAGCTGACGGATCTTTTTTTTTTTTTGTTGCAGAAGAGCTAGAAGCTGAAGAACAGGCTAATAAACGAACTTGTGAAGTACTGTGTTTTCTGGCTAGACTTCAGTTGCAAAAAAAATTTGTTGTTACACATTACTTTTTAAATACTCATAGGATGTAAATGTATATTTTTCATACTGGAGATAAATATTTAATTTTATTAAAATGTATATTTTTCATAGTACAGGGAGATAAATATTTAATTTTATTAAAATTTAGAGATAATTTTCGATATTGAGTCAAGTTAGAAGGAGGTTACTGTAATTAACCCTAATTAATTTTCACTCCGAAAATGCCCAAATAAAATAAATATAAAAATTCATAGAGAATTGCAAGAAAAAGCTTTCTCATTTTTCTCCTCTGTGTCAATTCTGTACGTTTCGACTTGTACTATGGTTGAACCAGCAGATGGTGCCACCGCTGCACCGTCTCCGTCACGGCCATCGCCGTCGGTCGAAGCTCAATCGCAACTCATAGAAACAGTAAATGCTCTGCAAATCATCACCAAACAATCTGAATTTCTGCAGCCACCAACAAATGATGACTCAATTGTCAATTTCAGCAAACTCTCGGATGCTTTCTCCGCATTCCAGGTCTGCTTTGCTGAATTACACCGACACGTTGTTTCCATCGGGACTTTAATCGACTCTATGCGACCCCTAGATACAACTAGTACTATCCCTTTATCTGTATCCTCACTTCCCGCAGCGGCAGCCGCAGCCCCAGAACCAGAACCGGCAACAGAACAAGAACCAGAACCATCATCGGAATTCGATCCCTCTGAAGAAGAAGAAGTGGAAGTGAAATCCCCTTGTTTA